CATAGATCGGGGCGCTGCGGATTCAAAACTCACCGAAACTCCCTCCAGGAATGCATCCAGGGCCCCGTCCAGGGCCCCATCGGAGCTCATCGGGAGCTCATCGGGAACTCATCGGATCGATCTTCGGAAACTCATCGAAACTCATCGGAAACTCATCGGAAACTCATCGAAACTCATCGGAAACATCGGAAACTCATCGGGAACTCTTCGGAAACTCTTCGGAAACTCATCGAAACTCATCGTGAACTAATCGGAAACTCATCGAAACCCATCGGGAACTCATCGTGAACTCTTCGGAAACTCATCGAAACCTCATCGGAAACTCGTCGGAGACTCATCGGATCCCAATCGGAAGATAGTCGACGACGGGGGGGGTCGGCGAGCCCCCCACCCCTGAGCCCCCCCTCCGCGCGGGGCGGCGGCGGTCCACGACACCAGCCAACGCCTGCTCGAGCGTCTCGTTCGCGGGCACCAGCGCCGCGTCGTCGTCGGCAGCCTGGCGACGACGACGACGACGACGACGACGACGGCGACGACGGCGACGACGGCGGCGGCGGCGGCGGCGGCGACGACGACGACGACGACTACGACGACCACCCATGGGTGGTCGTCGTAGTCGTCGTCATCGTTGTCGCCATCGGTGCCGGAACGACGGGGGAGGACGCCGCCGACGACGCCGACGACGACGACGACGACGACGACGACGAGTAGAGATGGCCTCCGTGGCCGTCTCCTGCGCCGTCTCTGGCGGCGGCGAGGCCGTCTCCTGCGCCGTCTCTGGCTGCGGCGTGGGCGCAGCCGAGCTGGCCGCGCTCTCCACCGCCGACGCCGCCGCCGTCGTCGGGGGCGTCGGCGGCTCCGCCGACTTCCCCGCGCGCGGGGTCGCGGGCGGCGTGGCAACCTCGAAGGGTGCCATCGCGCGCGCCCTGCGGAAGCGCGCCAACTGGGCGCGCGGAGGAAGGTTGACCTTCCTAGTGGCCTCGAAATAGCCCAACATGATCGATCGAGCCAGAACGCCGATCGCGATCGATCGAGCCAGAACGCCGACGACGACGACGACGCCTCGCGAGGCGTCGTCGTCGTCGTCGTCGTCGTCGTCGGACGATGGTTTCCGACACCGCGTGGGGCGTTCGTCCCCGAACATCGAGATTTCGCGCCGCGGCCCCGCGCCCGCGAGCACTGGGGCCCGAGATGGGCCCCCGTAGCGCGTTCAACCTTGATCGCGCGAGGCGCCTCCGCGCCGTCCGCCCCCGTCCTCCTCCTCCTCCTCCGCCATTTCCTCCTCGCCCGTCCTCCTCCTCAGTAGGGTTCGGGGCATCTGGGGCAGTGAACAACTACACGGATGGAGGGCGGGTACTTTCAAAATGACGCTCTCGCCCCGCTCACTGTTTCACTTACTTTTTCATGTTAAGCGCGGCGCCCGTTTATTTAACGAGCCGCGTCCCTAATTGTCTTAACCCGCGCCGCCTACGGGCAGCGGTGTACCCGACGGCCTCGTGGCAGTGTTCAACACGTACCACGTGATCGGGCATTATTTGATACGTACGCAGTGCAAACTCATCGGAAACCATCGGAAACTCATTGGTAGTGCATCGGAAACTCATCGGATTCGATGGGCAGGCTTAAGGGTCGTTTCACCTGCGGCCCACTAGACTGCTTCAAGACGGCTCAAGATGGCCCAGAGACGGCTCATGATGCAGATATGACTCATAACTTTTTTTTTTTTTTTATATATATATATATATATAAATAAATATATTTGTCATAACTGCTACTAACTGCTATGTTTACAGATATTTGCCATAACTGCTATTTTTTGCAGATATGGGTTATAACTGCTATTTTTTGCAGATATGACTTAGGACTCTTATGAATTTACAGATATGCTCAACATGATATAAAAATGCGCATAACTGCTATTTTTTGCATATATGATTCACAACCGGTATTTTTTGCAGAAATTTTCTGCAACTGCTATTTTTACCGGTATCGAACCTCAGGGGGGAATGCCTCCTGCGCTGCCGGTGGCGGCGCAGGTTGGCTCGGCGCCGCCCCCGGTGCGGATGGGCCCGGGCCGTCCGAGCTCGATCCAGCTGTAGCGTCGTGGATGCTCTGAGCTTAATCTCGCGCGGGCGTGGCCGCGAGGAAGGTTCGCTGTCGGCGCGAATGAACCACCGCTCCCAGCACGCACTCGCGAAACCGACTTCGCGGGGAAAACGACGACAGCATGAACCAATCTCCAAAGGCAACCGCCCCCTGAGAATAACGGCGACATCTCGGCTAAACCGGCCACCCTCCGCCAGCGAAATTTCGACGGCGGCCGAAACTCCACGGGCTGACCGCGCGGTATACTTTGACAAACAATTAATTCAGCGCGCGGCACGAAGCGAAAGGATTATAGCGACAGAACGTAAACGTAGAGACGCCCTGTGGTCTGAAGGAGTAAACATGGATTTGTGATGCAGGCGCAATTTAATCAAGACAGATAGACGCGTGATCTGAAAACTAAGACTTCGCGTTCCTATTCATGCTGCTGACATCCCAACGCGCGCGCACGCGGTTCCAAGCGCGCCCCCCTCTGACGCCATTCTGCGCGTTCTACTGGTCATCGCGCGAACAGGAAGTAGATGTGCGCCTCCAATCCATGCGACTCTGGCTCGGATCTCAAAACTTACACCTGTTCACGCGGTTTCGCTCGCCACAGACCGAGGAAACTCGAAGCGCGCCCCGCAATTGCGAAACCCCCGTCAAACAAGTCGCACAAAACTCCCGGAAGCACCGCAGGCCGCGAAAGAGGCCAGGGGAAGTCCACCTGCCCGTTCAGGGGGGCACGACCCACGACAGAGGCCCGCCCCGAGGGGTCCGACGGCGCGCCCACCGCCGATTACAAACGCCGCGCAAAGATTGGCATCGCTGGGCTGCCCGGAAGGGTTGAACGGTGCCCGCCTGCAAAAATCGGCAACAAGATCTCGGGCCCGACGGTCGCCCCAGTCCCGCAGCGACCCCCAGGACTGCTAATGAATCGCTGAGGCGAGATTGCCAGGTGATCCATCAATCATGTGCCCAAGCAAGGCGTCGCACATGACCCGTCATGTGTGCGATTTGTTCCGCGTTGGTCGGGTAGGCCATGTTATGGCGCTGCAAGATCAGGGCCAGGCTGCACGTTGGACGCCCCCACCGCGCGCAGGAGGAGGAAGCTTAAACCCTCGTGGCCGATCATGAGTTGACCAGCTTGCTGGGCGCGGTTGCGGAGGATGTCGAAACGCGTGAGGAGGTTATCCATGCGCTCCTGCGGCAGTCGAATGAAGTTCATAAATGCTGAGACTGATGCGGCGCGCTCCTCCTCGCTCAGCGTGCCCCAACGTTCGGCCAAACTGTGCATCGGGAGTGTCGTCGGTGGCGCTGGGTTGCCGTTGATGGCGCTTCCCTGCGCGCAGACAGCTGGCGGCCACTCGTCCACGCATTCTCGGGACCTGCCGGTGAGACGAGACGAGACGCTGGCCGCCTGGCGAGACTCGTTGAGGTCCGAGCTCGCCACTGACCAAATCATCACCTCCCGCGCCCATCGTTGGAAAAGACACCGAGATTGCTGCCCAGGCCCCCAGGCGCGGAGGCGTCGCGCTCTGCCGTCGCCGCGTCGGCGCCCATGCCGGCGATGCAACTGGCCCGGGCAAGCCTGCCCACTCCGATGACCTTCCGTCTGGAGTGGAGGTCCCTCCAGAGGTCAAGGGAGTGCTGGAGGCCGCGGCCTGCCGACGGCGTCGTTCTGTCCAGGGGCCTCGGCGCCGTCGCGGCGCCGCACCCAGGACACCCCGCAACGTGGCTGCGAAAAAATTTTCCTCGCGGTCGCGTCGTCGCCGCGCTGAATACCGACAGTTGCGCAATCGACCAAAGGAGTGCGCGTCGGGATCTCGCCCTGCCATTATGAAGGGAGTCGGCGGGTGTGATGATGTGTCGTGTACCGAGTGATCGTCGACAGGTAGTCCCAGACCTGTCTCGCTGTCCCTTGGAGATACAACACTGCATTTGTCCAACACCCCACTGGGTTCCCAGGCCTATCCGTGCTCGTATCCGCCTGCGCTTCCCGTGGTTCCCGCCCAAGGTCCCCGCAACATAGTTGCGGGAACCTCGGGGCCACGAGCGCAGGCTGTTGATGGGGGCGATTCCCAATTTCCAACCGTAGGCCCGACCTGTGGCACCGAAAGCGACTCCAACGCAGTTGAAGTACGCCCCGAGAGAGAAGCAGGCAACGGCGGCGGGTGGGCGCCGCGCTCCCTGAAATGATTGATGACGCGCTTGTTTTGGTTGGTGTCCGCCTCGTCGCTCGTCTTAACAAGCGGGGGTTGGATGAACACGTAAAGAAAGAAGAGCCGGATCATCCTAACCGAACGCGATCGAGATGCTGGGGTGAAAGAGGGCAAACGCAAAACTGGAGGACATGCCACGCGGGCCATGGCGGCGAGAGGTCGTGGAAGGGAACCGCAGCTCCGTTACCAACTACGAAGACGTATGTGAAGCGCATGCTTGTGTAATCGAAGCGCTGGACACGCGAGTTAACGCGATATTAACACGAGACTAACACGGGCACGAAGGGCGACCTCCTTCCCATGCCCATGGGCCACATTGGCGGCGAAAGAAGGAGACACTTAAGGCTCGCAGCGGGAAGGGTTGGAATGCTACTGCTCGACGCGAAGGAAAAGGAAGAGGAGGAGGAGGAGGAGGAGGGACGAGGAGGGACGAGGCGACTCCCAAATGGGACCAATGATAACTGGGGTGGGAAGATCGCACCGCATCTCCCGTCAATCGCCGATGCACTGGCGACGCTGGGGCCGAGAAAATCAGACTCTGGACCATGCCACAGCACCGCCGATGCATCGGCAGCTCGGCGGGACCACCCGAACCCGTCCTTTCCGGCTGCTTCTGGGAGGCCTCGAGTCGGCCTCGGGAGTCGGAAGGTCCACCTGCGAGGATGAGGAGCCAGCGGCACAAGGAGGCCCCGCCTTCGTCGCCTGCGGCAGCTCCAGCTCCTTCTGATCTGCCCACTGGGAGGCGCCCCGCGAACCGTCGGGGGCGCCCATGGCCGAGGCTGGAGAAACCAAAAAATACCGATACAGCTGATCCCCGGACCCCTCCCAGGGCGCGTTTTGACCAGGATCCAGCCGTGGCGACAAAGGCCTCCCAGGAGGCCCAAAGAGGCGAGAGGGAAGGAAAGGCAGCGGGATCGGCATCTTTTTGGAGCATCGTTTCGCCGATCCTTATCCCCACAGGCGTGGCCTGGGCCCCACTGGCCGATCTACCCCCCTAGATGGGGATATAGGCTGCCCCCTTCGGGCTGCGAGGGGCCTATCCCCAGCTGGGGTGGGTGGATGGTGGGACTGAAATACGACGGATTTCGGGGGAAACAGCGCCCGTCTCGAATATACATTAAAACGGGGCCAAACCCCAGACCCCATTTCAAAGTTCGCTGCGCGCGAAGCTGAACTTTGAATTCGGGGGCGCGGGGGGGGCATCGTTCTCTCTACTGATCATAATTGATGCGCGTGTTTTTTCTGTCGAAAAGCCAAAAGGGCCATGGTCCGCCAGGGGTGGGATGGTAAGGCTTTGGGTTGTGCACAGACAGCTCCAGGGGCGCCGCCAGCGGCGCCAGCTGGCCATCGCTCGGACGTCCATTGACTGTGATTTTTTCGGTTTCGTGCGTGGCTTTTTCGCCAAATGATCAAGGATGCTCCTCGATGGTCCTCGCCGAAGGAAAAATGCACACGTCCGAGCGATGCCAAGCCAGGGTGATGAGACCGCCTTGGGCTACTCGGGGGGCCCGTTGTGGCCAGCTGGGTCTGCTCGAGGGGGCCTGCTGAAGCCAACTGGGACTACCCGGGAGGACTGTAGGACTGCCTGCGCGCAGCCCGAGGCCTGGCCAGGATGTGGACAGTAGGCGGCGCGCCCCGGGGGAAAGTGAGAAAGGGCGGGCCTTCTCAGAAGGCTCGGGAGATCCCCGGCCTTCTGCGAAGTTTTCTGAACCTTCCCCGAAGACGGAGAAGACCTCTCGGAAGGCCGGAAGGCTTCTGAGAAACCCCGCCGCCTTCTGAGAGGGTCTTCTCCTTCTCACTTCCCCTATTCGCCTACCGCCAAGACAAGGTAAACGATGCTCCAATCCTCCTCTGACAAAAGGGGGGGGGAGCCGTGGGCGACGGCGGCGGGGCTGGGAGCGGCGGCCCTCGGAAACGGCAGGGGCAGGCGCCGACGTCAGGGCAGGGGGAGGAGGAGGAGGAGGGTGGAGGGTGAGGATGAATGGAGGATGGATGATTGAGGGAGGATGGAGGAGAAGAAAGAGAAAAAGGAGGAGAAAGAGGAGGAGGAGGAGGAACGAGGATGAGCGAGGAGGAGGAGGCGGAGGAGGAGAGGCAAGGCAGATAAGGCGGGGGAGGGGAGGTAAGGTAAAGTAAGGTGAGGCGAGGGAAGGTGAGGGATCAGGTACGGTAAAGTAAGGAAAGGTAAGATAACGTAGGGTAACGTAAGGTAATGTAAGGCCAGGTGAGGGGATATAAGGTAATGCAAAGTAACGTGCGGTAAGGTAATCGTGAAGTAAGGTCAGGTAAGGTAAGGTAAAACAAGTAAGGTAATAGAAGGTATGAGGTAAGGTAAGAGCGCTTGGGGGCCTGTGTCGCTACAGCTGGAAAGAAAACTAGGACCATGCGAGTGGTATGCGGATGCAGGACCCCGCTTGTCAGCGAGGGCCTTCTTGGCCTGGCCGCCGAAGCGTCGGCGGGGGGACCACTCCGTGACTGCAGGAGCGCGTCGCATGAGAAAGAAGGGGGGCGGGGCCGCAGTCCCACTCGGCGTGCGCACCCTCCCGGGAAAGAACAACTCGCATCACATAGTATGCACTCGCTGCTCGCCTTTCCGCGACACTTCCTGGGCGTCGCTGCGTCGGGCACGGGTCAATCGGAGAGGGTCGGCCGCAAGTCTTCCTTCGGAATGCTACCCGTGTCCGTGATGTCGGCGGCGGCAGGCTGTCGCTCTGGCTGGCACACGGAAGCCGGCCTGGAACTTCAGGCCCTCGGCGTGGACCGGCGCTGACGCTCTGGCATTCAGACAGAGGCTGGCCTGGAACTGCAGGCTCTCGGCGCACCGGCCGCGGGCGGCCGCGGGTGCTGCCCTACTCCCTCGCCACTGCTAGCAAGCGGCTGTCCCGTTGTTTCCTCTCCTGCTGGGCTCAGTAGGCCCAGGGCTGTGGCCGCTCTATCCTGGGTCTTCTGTGTCGACTCGACATGCAACTTGCGCGTGCTCTCCTGATAATCGAGCTCTTTACCGTCCTGCACTGCGCGTGCATTGAGCCTCTGTGCCTCGAGGATACCGAGCGTTCGGTTTTGCAGCTGTATCCATATGTAATTGATTACCTGATTCGTTGCCTCGCATCGAAAAAAATCTGCCTCTGATGGTGGCGATGTCTGCTTCGGCGCTCTTGTGACTCGGGATGCTATCATTCGGCTCGCCTGCGTTCCGACAATCGCGACCTTGGATGATGTCGGCTAGGCCCAACATGCTGCAGTCTGCCGGCGGTGCGAGTGCCGACTCTGCGCGCGCAAAAACCTGCTCTTGAGCCTCCGCGGCAGCGCGGGTCCCCGTCGGGACGGAGGGAGGCCCGGGGCTCTGGAGACCCCGCTGGAACGCGAGAGGGCCTCGGAGCCATGTGAACTCTCCGGGGGGTCATTACGTTTGGTTCCCAGCAACAACCGCAGTGGGTGACCTCGTATCCTCAGTATGCCTTCCGCCTGTTGTGATCGATGGTTGCACTTTCCGTCGTGTGATGTCGCACCGTCGGTCGCCCTCTCTTCTCCTTGTCGCCGCCAACTGATTTTAGTCCCTTCCTTCTCTTCTTTGGCACGTCGTTGCTTGCATTGCTCTTGGGCTGTCTTGGGCGCTGCTACGACACAAAAAGCGAATATGCTATAAATGAACGTTTTCTTAAGGAGTGGGGCAAATGTTTCTTTTTTGGGGCTCTCCTGAAAGCCTCTTGGGGCGTCTTTGGGGCCTCTTGGGCCGTCTTGGGGACCTCTTGGGCCGTGTTGAAGCCGTTTTGCGCTACCGCGGGGCTCTCCTGGGGAACTGGGGCTCTGTTGGGGAGCTCTCATGGCCCTGGTGGGTCTCTCTTGGGAACTTTTGCGGGCCTCGTGAGCTTCTTTTGGACCGTCTTGGGGCAATCGTGGGGTCCTCTTGGCCCGCCTCGAACCCCTCTCTGGGGCCTCTTGGGCCGCCTTGCGGCGACCTCGCAGGCTTCTTGCGCGCTGCTACGGCACAAAAAGCGAAGATGCTGAACATGCAAGCTTTCTTAAAGACTGGGGCGATTTGCTCCTTTCGGGCGCTCTCTTGAAGGCCTCTTGGGGCGTCTTCGGGGCCTCTTGGGCCGTCTTGGGGGCCGTTTGGGCCTTCTTGATGTGGTGCTGCCGTGGGGCTCTCCTGCGCCGCTCCGACCACGTCTCAGATCGATTTGAGCTTGCTGGCAAGGCCCCGCAAAGCGCCCCGGGAGGCGCGGCAGGGCTAAGGGGCCTCTTCCAAGGGCGTCCAGAGGGGGGGCCCAAAACTGCAGATCCCAGGGTCAGTTTTTTTGGGGGGGGAGACTGTTTGTCCTGCCCCCCGCCCCGACGTATAGACATATAGGAAGAGTAGATACAACGACACATAACATTATACATACATATACACCTGCAAATATGTATACAGCTATATTCGTATATACTAGAACCACGCCGCGCACGCGCTACGCGCGCTTAGGTTCTAGCCACGGCATCATGGCGCCAAAGGATGCCACGGCAAGCAGTGCCATCGACAGTGGATCTCGTCCCAGAGGGCCCTGGCGGCAGACCCCCCTCTGGAGCCTTGGACTTCTCGCACTGCGCTGCCGGCGGGAGGGGGCGGAGAAGGAGGGGGAGGAGGAGGGGGAGGAGGAGGAGGAGGAGGAGGAGGAGGAGGAGGAGGAGGGAGGAGGAGGAGGGGGAGGAGGAGGAGGGGGGGAGGAGGAGGAGGAGGAGGAGGAGGAGGAGGAGGAGGAGGAACGGCGGTGGGGAAGTAAGGGGAGGGGCGGAAGGGAGGAGGTGGAGGTGGAGGAGGAGAAACAAGTGCGCAGCAGCAGCACCAGCAGCAGCGTGAGCAGAATGAGGAGTTGGAGCAGGGGGGGAGGAGAAGTAGGAAGAGGAGCAACTGGAGTTTTCGCGAGCTCCGCCGCGCGCTTTGCCGCGCGCGGCCGCAGCGGAGGCCTTGTGGAAGTGTCTGGAGCCGTTCTGTCGGCCAGTTGGGCTGTCTTGGGCCCAGCTTCAGCTGCCTCGGGGTGCTCCTGGGCCCCCATGGGTGCAGTTTGGGCAATCTGGGTGCCTTTGTTGGACCGTCTAAAGACAGCTCCCAACGCCGCAGCGGGCGGCTTGGGCTTTGGGGAGCTCTCCTGGAGGCCTCTGGGAGGCCTGTGGGAGACCTGGGGCACCAGGCAGGAACAGCCTCTAGAGCTCCCTGCAACCTCTAGAGGCTCTGCTGGCTCTGGGTCGCCGAACCCCTCTGAAAACACAAGGAAAGTGCGCGCCAATCCTCCCATGCGGAGCCATCAAGGGACAAGGTTGGGAGCCTGTGGGGCCGAACCAGGAAGGTCTGGGCGACCTCTGGGGCCGCCGTGCAGCGTGGGGATGCAGAACAGGCTGCGTGGAGAAAAACGTGGGGAAAAACGATTGGAAAACAAAATATTTGAGCTGCGTGGAGCTCTCCTGGATGCCTCTGGGAGGCCTGTGGGAGACCTGGGGCACCAGGCGGGAGCAGCCCCTGGAGCTCCCTGCAACCTCTTGGGGCTCTGTTGGCTCCGGGTCGCCGAAAGCATGTAAAGAACACAGGGGAAGTAAGGCCCTGGGCCCCCCATGCGCCGCCGAGGTCCTTGGGCGGGACCCCCCCGGCCACGTCCCCCAGGATATGTATGTATGCATATATATATATAGATATATAAGTATACATATATATATATATATATATATATATGCACGCGATCATATGTATATATATATATATATATATATATATATATATCATTGATCACCTCCATTGTGTGAAGATATATCAGGTGATATGGCCATTCAGGGGAAACCTGTCTGGAATGAGCGGGAAGCGCGTGAAATAGAATAGCTTGAAAAAACGAGCGCCAAACTTGAGATAAAGTGTGGCATAGGCGCTCTTCCCGAAGGATCGCAACGGTACCAGGTGGTGTTCACTACCCACGCAACTTCAGACGTGGCAATGAACTGGCGCAGGTAGTAAACTGCTCTTGATCTTGCTCCCGACCCCCTGAGGGAACTCATTCGCTATTTTCATTTCGAGCGGGGTACGCGCAGAACCGAGGACCTGCGCAAGAACTTCCAACACCATCAAAATCAACTGTGCCGTAGGCGCGCCACCGGAAGGCAACAAGGGTCAGGGGTACATGTTACGATCCGACGCGGTTCCGACGGTGCGCTGAATCTATGTGTGCAGTGAACTGACAGTGGTCCTGGGCCTCCCGCTGCCACTCGCCCTCTTCCGTCTCCTCGCCCTTATCTCCGCCTCCTCGCCCTCGTCGCCCGCCTCTTCCGCCGACGGCAGGCGCAGTGCGCAATTCATTACCCGCGCAAGTTTGGGAAACAACAAGATTGAAGGGAACCCGCCAAACCCTCGGAAGAACCACAAAACGCCCGCTGCACTTGAAGCCTCTGAAGTGCAGCGGGCGATGTCGCACAACAGCAGAAGCACTGCTATTGTTCGTTCGCCCCGTCAGCGTCGTCATCATCATCACCACCATCACCCCCATCATCTTCAACGTCGCCATCATCATCCGCATCATCACCATCATCAGACTAAACATCATCAGCAGCATGAGCATCAGCATCACTGCCAGCATCTTCTTCAAAACCTGATATTGTTGAAGACCATCGGGATTCCATTATTGGGAGGATGTCTCGAGCGATACGCGGTGGTAATCAAACCAGTGGTATGTTCATCATGTTGACTGTCCCCAAACTGCTTTGTGTGAAGATGTCTCACGCGACACGCTTCCTGTCGAACGGAAAAATGAGCACCGATGGTTTCCCAATTAATCCGCTTCTTGGGCTATCTTCAGGGTCCTCCAAGAGAGCCCCCACAAGATGTAGTAAAACTGCTTATTCCAGCAGGCCAGTTGTTTCAGGATGTCTCAGGCGAGAGCCCATTTCTCAGCATACGAAGCCTTCCCAACCGACTTCAGCACCTCCACGTATTTGAGGATGTCGTAGGCGAAAGCTTCATGTTGCGCTAACGACGCTCTTTCTCTCTCTCTCTCTCTATCTCCCTCTCTCTCTCTCTCCCTCTCTCTCTCTCTCGCTATCTCTCTCTATGTATATAGACATAGAGGTGTATATACATACGCATGTATGTGAATGTATGTATGTGTGGGAGAAGGAATTGGTCACATACGATAATCCTCCCCATCCTCCCTTATTCTCTCTCATCATCTGGTCTACTCCCCTCATTCGTTTTTCGTCTCTGTCGTCATCCTCCTCCTTTTCCTCCTCGTCCTCTTCATCTCCCTCCTCGTTCTCATCATTTCCTTCCTCCTTCTCATCCTCTTCACCCTCCTCCTCATTCTCATCCTCCCTCCTCCTCCTCATCCTCTTCCTCCCCTTCATCCTCCTTCTCCTCCGATGTTCCCCCTACTGCTCAGGGATTAACCCGCTGCCTCCTTTGTGAGAAGGCCGAATTGAATCCGTCTCTTCCTCTTCATCGCTTTTGTCATCCTAATCCTCCTCCTCATCCCCCTCTGCTGCTGCTAATGCTCCTCCTCATCCTTGTCTCTGGTCATCTCACCTCCTCCCGGCTTTTTGTTTCATCATTTCTTCGTCTTCACATTTCACACTCAAAAATGAATTCTTTCTCTGCTGCTTACCCCTCCTCCTCTGACCATTATTCCCCGTCTCCTCTAGGTGAAAATGCGCCGCACAGTCTGCGGCAACTGGCCGATATAATAGACGGAAGCCAGCGGATCAAAACGGCCACGTATTTCCAAACAGGTGGCAAATAATACCACTCCCAGCATACACTTGTGGAACCGACGACCCTGTCGGCGTGTGCGAGGGGCTTCCTCGTCCGTTCCTCGCCGCCCCCCCTTCTTCCTTCCCCCTTTTTTCTTTTTGGGCCGTACCCTCCTGCCGTCATGCCGTTGTCGATTCGAAGGGAAGCCCCTTCCTTTTGATCCCTTCCCCAGGGGGGGGGGGTCCCAGGGGGGGTGGGGGGGGGGGGGGGGGGGGGGGGGGGGGCAGATTCATTTTTCCTCGGGCGGCCCCGTACCGCGCCGCCCTCCCCCCTCTCGACATCTTCTTCTTCCTCTTCTTCGTCTTCAGGGTCGGCGGCACCGGCCGTAAGGCCTTCGCAATAATACCACTCCCAGCATACACTTGTGGAACCGATCTCGCAGGAAAGACAACGACAACATTATAAACCAGTATTCAAGGGCAACCACCCCTTGAAAATAACAACGGCATCTCGACTAAACCAGTAACCGCCCGTCTACGATATTTTGTCAACGGCCGAAACTCGATAGACTAACTGCGCGGTACATTTTGACATCAAAGAAAATGCAAGAGGCCGACAGAAACTGGCGGATGACTGACGGACCCTGCGGAGGCAACATGTGCCAGCG